ACTTAACTGCATACAGAATACAATGCAAGGCCCAACATATTCTCAAAAACCTGCACTGGTGGAATGCCTCTCAACCACCAGAAAAATTGTTCCATCAGAGTAAACTAGGTGCAACAGTAACATCATAATTTTATCCTAATTTGCTCGAGAGAATTCAAGACTCATCAAGCATTTATTCAAAAAGACAATAACTGGTGATTGATTTTACCTTTAATCTCCCCATCCCACTGACAGAAACAACATCCCCAGCCTTGAGGGTAGCTCCACTTTTCGAAACCAGTGACCAATTCACACGAACATCTCCAGAACTTACCAAACAGAAAAAGAAACTTACAATGAATTGCATTGTGCACGGTAATTAGAAAAACCAACAGGCTAACAGCACTGTCCAAAATAAGATAAGAATGTCCAACTATTCATGTTAAGGTAAAGAAAAGCCTTACTGAACATAAAGTAACAAATTATCAGCTCAAAGTTCATACCTGATCATGCTACCAAGCTTTGTGCGTGATATTTTAAATCCTGCACTGGCCACAGCATCAACCCGAAGTGATGATTCTACAGTTTTAAAAGATTTGGTCCTGCAGGGCAGTGCTGAGCAGCTTATTCCAGGGTATTACATCATAAGTTGTTGTGATCTTAAGAATGCAGTATATACACTAAGATCCATGATGACATGTGAAACAAACCTTGGTGGCTCATACTCTATAGCAAGCAAGGGAATCTGGGTGCATGAAACACCAACTTTCCCCACCTGTTCAATAAAATATCATTCACAGTAAACCATAATTAGAAGAATCTGCACTTCCAACAAGGAAAATAATACTCAAAAAAATCATAAACAACAGTCAAAGTTCATGGGGAGATTCTTCGCGGACAGATTTGGGTCAAAACTCACAAATATAAAAGGCTAACATAAAAAGAACAAAGATTTTCAGCGATCTAAGCGGACATAAAAATTAAGATCGCAATGTGCTCTAATTTCTTAAAATGTCGAGTAAAAATAAATACATCAGCATGTAATATCTCAGATCTGCTCCATTATATAAACATAGGCACACAAGTGGGAGTATGCACATCCAGCTTGCGCAAACGAAAAATTGGCAACATAATTTGTGAGATACCTACCTTTTCTAGTGTGGAAGTCAGATAGTCAACAAGCTCTGGATCAACAAGGACCTGAGCACCTCTTTCCCCCTAACAGAAAAGCAAAGAGACAGCTCAAATGGTGATAAGATGGAAAAAGAAAAACTGGACACCGCATCAGGGAAATGAGTATTTGTGGAAAGTGTGGACCTGTAAAAGTATATCTCCAACTTTCTCCCTTGTAATTCCTGCCCCAAGAATAGCACCGAGAAAATCACCATGAGAACAGGGTTCCAATCGGAAATTCCCGGAGATGCTGGGAAAGGTTTAAAATTCAGTTTACATAACAGATAGTGGTGGCTACAATATATAAATTCTTGAAAACCTCAAAGCAGCAACTACATCTGGGTCACTTCTCATAGAGTCTGGATGCCCAACTGAAATTCGGCACCGCTCAGCCTAGATGGATATGAAGATGAGAAAAACAAGGTATATAGGTTAATATAAGCTATTATTCACGTAAAAATGGTAGCTATCAACAACTCCTTTGATTGTATTGAATTCCACCTGTGGATAGCCCCCCTGAGCTACTGCTTTGATATCAGCAAACTTTTCAATTGCTAGCATAGCCTCCGCTATGATAGGTGGCGTAAGAAAACTGGTGTGGAAGACATCTCTTCGTTGGGAAGCCCTTTGTGCCTGCATACGCTTGATGTCAGTACAAATTCATGAACTTAAGAACTAATGATCATGTAACTGTAACCCCAGTAATTTTCTCAATATAAAACAGGGTGATATGCCTTCTCTTGGAAATGGACTAACTACGGTACTGGAACAAATTTACTGAAAAGCCATGTGGTAACCTCATGGTACATTGTTAATATGCAAAAAGGCAGTTATGTTATGTTATGTTCTACTAAGCATCATGTGACACTATAGGATATCAGGATCAACTTTGTATTTCCTCCCTACAGCTTATCCGTACATCTATTCACCAATTCTAGAACTCCTGCCACTTGGTATACCTGGGAAGAAGCAATTTTATTCTCTTCCTACAAAGGCACCAGTCAATATGATTGAAAGGTTATGTTTTCACACACCAAATGGACAATTAATTGACTTTTTCTTCATGCTTCAATAGCGAAACAGCTAACAGGAAGCACATCTCATTTCCCCTAATTTTCATGTACTAAAAATACTCTCTTAGAGAGGAAGCATCAGCCTATTAGAACACAGCCTGAAGCTCATGAATAGTGGGAAGAAGTCTAAAATTCCATCGAGGCACAGTTCGTCGACAGGCCAAGTATCCGCACTATCATCAACCATCTAATCTCAGTAAACGGGGCAGTCAATAGAACTGTTTCACGTCGAACTAGACTCTGACGGAGGTTCAATGGAAAATACAAATGTGCTAGAATGAAGAAAAAGAGATAACCATATCCAGAATGTCCATGACTTCCTCGATTACATGCCTGTGCACGCCCCACTTATCTCCGACTGCGGCCGCCGAGACGGCGAGGGCCAGGTCACACCGCCCTGCGCACGGCGGCCAAGCCTTAGACAGACAGCTCAATCAGAGCATCAGACCGACCGGGCAATGGGTTAGGGCTTACCTCGCGCGAAGAAGCGGAGTGGCGTGGCGATAGCGCGGCGCGGGCAAGGGCAGTGGAGGAGTCGCCGGAGAGGGCTTGCCAAGGCGACCGCGGCGGCCATCCTTTCTGCAAGCCGACCAGGCCGCCTGTGCTCTGAGCCTCTGTGATGTGATGTGAGCGTGCCGTGCTTGGTGGCGGTTGCCTAACCGGGTGCGGGATTGTGTTGTGCCGTCTGTGGCCTTTTGTGGGTTCTGTGGAGTGTACTGGTGTTGCAGTATCCCCGCCGCCGCCGCCGCCGCGATGAGCACGCTCCTCCGGCGCATCCTCTGCAGCACGCCCGCCGGCGCCTCCCTCTCCCACCGCCTCCCCTTCGCCACCTCGTCCCGCCGCACCCCGCACCGCTTCCGCCGCAGCCACCGCGCGCCCAGCCAGTCGCCGTCGCCCGACGCCGTCTCCGCCGCCGTCGCCTCCCTCCCCTCCCGCCTCACCCCGGCCGTCCTCGCATCCTCCCTCGCCTCCACCTCTGACCTCCGCCTCCTCTTCCCGCTGCTCACCCACTCCCTCGGCCGGCCCACCTTCCGGCCCGACCCGGGGCCCTTCCTCGTCGCCGTCAAGCGCCTGGGCGCCGCCCAGCTCTACCACGAGTTCGACCGCACCTGCGCCCTCTTCTTCTCCCTCCTCCCGTCCCTGCCGTCCCCGGGGCCCCTCCTCAGGGCCGCCCTCTACTTCTACTGCGAGTTCCGCAAGCTCGGCAAGGCGTTCCACGTCTACACCCTCATGCGCGCCTCCGCCGACCCGGCCGCGCGCCCCGCCGCCGACACCTACCACGCGCTCTTCACGGCGCTGCTGTCGCGCGGGGGCAACGACTCCATGGTGCACTACATGTACATGGACACCGTCTCGGCGCTGTTCCGGCAGATGCTGGAGGAGGGCGTCCCGCCGGACACCCGGGCGCTCAACGTGCTCGTCAGGGGCTACGCGCAGTCGCTGCACCTCAACGACGCGCTGCGCGTGTTCCACCAGATGGCGCCCGTCTACGGCTGCCAGCCGGACGGCCTCACGTACAGCTACCTGGTGCGCGGGCTGAGCGCGCAGGGCCGCACCAAGAACGCCCGGGAGCTGTTCGACGAAATGCGGGGCAAAGGGATGATGCCGACGGAGCCGTCCTGCAACGCGTTCGTCAGCGCGCTCGCCGTGGCCGGGGAGGCCGCGGAGGCCGAGCGGGTGATGTGGGATATGGCCAGGGCGGGGGCGGTGGTGGATCATATCACGAGGAGGGCGGTGGTGGAGGAGCTGGGGAGGGCCGGGAAGAGGGACGACGCTGAAAGAGTGGTCAGGGAGATGGAGGAGATGGGCATGCTCAGAGTCGCCGAGCGGCGAGAGCTCCTCGCTTCCATCCAAGACGACGAGGACGGCGACGATGGCATGGATGCTGCTGTTGAGAGCACGAGAGGTGGTGATCGGCGACGACGACAAAGTTAGCAGAGAATTCAGCAGCTGCATTGGATGTTTTATCTGCATTGGATTTTTTTTTTTACTATGATTCTCGAGTATCCGTTCACAAATGTAAGATGTTTTAGGTATGTCAATATAGTCTATATTTGAATTGAAATGAATGAACAAGCACACTAAAACTAGAACGTGTCTATATACATTTGATTTAGAAAAAAAGAGGTTACTGTAGGACATCTTATATTTGTGTGGAGGGAGGAACAGAGTCATGTGTGCAATGTGCCCACAACGATACATGCGAGTTGAAAACGGATCGTGTAATTGAATGTTAGTAAGTTTGAAGAGTTAAAATATCTTGAATTATCACCTGCAACTACGCGCGAACAACACGTCTTTTAAACACGGGGTGGAATGAAAGAGACGAGGAATATACCAGGGAACTGGCTAAATTCTTCTTCTCGTATTGTTGTGCGTAATATGAGCACCAACCTGTTGGGTAGAGCTATGCCGACACAACTCTACGCACGCCTTTGACGCCATGGCTGTGGCTGCCGCTTCACCTGCCGTGCCAATCGACTCAACAAGACTCGCACGCAAATAGTATCAGCTTACCCTTTCATCTTCTGATGAGGTTTTAGTGCAATCCACTGAAATGCAGATAACTCAACAAGAACCTCTTTTCTTTTATTCAGACGAAGACTTTTTCGCTCTTGCTTCGAATAAGTTGCTCTTACAAAGTTGCTTTTAGGAATCCCACACGGGGTAAGTTTACAACCAAAACCATGTTTGTCAGGCTCATTCTACTTTAAAGGGGGAGATGGAACGGCTCCACTTATTGTTTCTCCCCCAAATGGATCGTCTGTAATTTGCTTATTCTTCAGGCTGATCGGACGGAAGCCATTCCAGAGTGTTGCCGGTGGACATAGGCACAATCACCCCTGAACCGTACGCATAAGTTGCAGGCACTTTCCAGGGGCTCCTTCTCAGAACAATCTTTGATGTGTTCCTTGGGAGTCCATAAAAATCTGGCCCATTGAAGCTTGTAAACGCCTCTAGCTTATCAAGAGCACCGACCTGAAACAGGACAAAATATGTCCAAAAAACAGATTAGTAAGAAATCCTAACATTTTCATGTCGGATAGAGTAGTTCTTTGCCTATAAGATTGTGATAGACTTTTTGTAGCTGAGACAATTATAACAGTAGTTTCTAGTAAGATGATAACGATCCAGGCCAAAGAAAATACTGAACTCCAATGAGAGAGAGAGAGAGAGAGAGAGACAGAAATATATTACCTCTTCAAATACCTTCGCATAAAGAGAAAGAGCAACAGGAGCGCTATATATTCCTGCACATCCACAGGAACACTCCTTCATCCGTTTATCATGGGGAGCACTGTCAGTGCCAAGAAAGTATTGTCTGCTCCCACTTGTTACAGCAGAAACAATAGCTTGCCCTGGGGTAGAAGATTCAGAGACAATTAAACACATTGGATGTTGTAGAAAGAAGAAAAGGGAAATTGATCATATTTTCTACCAAGCACATCACTAGTGTTATCCTACAAATAAAGGTGCACTTTTGATAATAAAAGAATGCAATGAAGTCCAAAGCCATGTTCATATATTCGAAATTGTAATGCTGGCAAAGAATATAAGCATCAAAGGAATATGACAACGTAATGCGAGAATAGCAATGTTGTAGATCTAGTCTTTTACTGCTGAAGGAATATCCAAGCCTATGTTTTCTACCATAAATATTTCAGTGAGAGTAACTAATGGTAGGGCAGACTGGAAACTTATGTGGGTTAGGGACACGAGAGTGACCGGAACATACTGTGAGTTTCTCTCTTCAGCACTGGCAAGCAATAATTGTGAGGCTGTAAACCACCCTGAAACAACGCATTCCTGTTTAGAAGGAGATGCTGTGGAGTCACTGTTGCAGCAACATGACCTGAAAACACACAAAAGAAATGTAAGAACCACGTATAGGGAAAAACAGAAGTATTAATGATCATTGTAAGAGCGCATACCTTCTTTGCATGATTCTACGAAGTTCACTGCATCCATCGTAGTGATATGTTCCATAACGATTTTCAGCTGTGGAAGTTTTTGTACAAGTGGTGCTAATATTTTCTCAATGAAGACCTTCTCACGGTCAAAGGTATCGACATGAGGATCTGTGACTTCTCCATGAACCTGAAGGAAATGAAAAATAGCCATAAAGGTGAATATGTTGGCATTGACCGTACAGGTATCAATATTACTAACTCTGATGAACATCTTTTTGATAATTTTGGTACTGTCAAGGCAACAAATGGCAAGCCCATTTAATATCTGAAGTAAAGCTAGAGACCAACTTGGCAGATGAACCAAAACTTTGGGGTTCTGTGTAGGGAGAAGAACAATAACTACTTACAAGTAAAGGCATTTCCTGCTTAACCATCTCTTCAAGGACAGGCAAGCATTTCCCCAAAATATCAGTTACGCCATCTTGGGAGTTAGTAGTTGCTCCAGCAGGATACAACTTGACAGCAAAAACCACACCACTCTTTCCTACAAACCAACAAAACAAACATGGCATGCAAAATAAACATTATGATCCATCACTTCATAATTTATGAGTCATGACTGAAGGAGGAGCAGAACATTTACAAGATGAATCAGAATCGTTAAGGGAATAACCATAATCACGTTAATAAATCTTATTCTAGCTTCTAACATGCACTAACAATGTGGTAACAAACTCATCGTGTGTATGCACATCAAAACTAACAAACAATAGGGCTGACTATAAATTTGGTTTTTTGCTAGTTGGGAGACAGATATAGATATTTGATAACCAGGAGACGCAATCATGAAGTACACACAGCAAAAAAAAAAAAACAGCTAAAGAACCAATTTCGGTAGGGAGAATCCGTACTTGCAATCTTAATTTCTTCCGGGCTAGTGCTGTCCGTGAGGTAGAGCGTCATGAGCGGCACGAAGCTGCTGCCGGGAGGCAGCGCCTTCATGATCTCATCTCTGTACGCGATCGCACGTGACGTTGTTGTAACCGGGGGCTTCAGGTTGGGCATGACGATGGCTCTCTGAAAGTGCCTCGCGCTGCCACAGAGCACACAACAAAACACAGAGGCCCTGCCTGTTAAGCTCTTTGAGGCATTGCACCGAACAGTAAGAGTGCACTAGCAGAAGGAGGAAACCTGTGGGGGAGCACAGCGGCCATCACGTCGCCGTCGCGGAGGTGGAGGTGCCAGTCGTCGGGGCGCGTGATGGTGAGCTCCTGCGTCGCCGAGGAGGCCATGGCGCTCGCCCTCGTGTTCGGGCGGTGGCGAGGAGGGTGGACTCGGACCCGGTGCTGGGGCGACGGCCGCGGGAAGGAGACCAGAGGCTTCAGATGCGGGTTCGCGGAGACGGCGGCGGTGGTGATCGCGAACTGCATTGACTTGGCGGCTTTATTCGGATTCGGTTTGGCCCTCCTCCGGTGGCGAGTCCGGCGTGGAGCAGCAAGAGGCGTGGGCGTTTGGTGGGTAGAAACCGAAGATTCGGTTGGTGTAGTTCGGTGTTTGGCTCGGTTAAGTAATTTCGAACCCAAAATGACGAACGAAATTAGAAAAAAAAACCGACAATTTGGCTCAGTTTTTGGATTCTGCCGGAGTACCCGGGAGCTCCTCCGCCGTGTGCAGGCGTGCAGCGACGTAGGGACCGAGGCAGCGCGCTACGGGAGTACGGGTCTACGGTGGTCGGAGGCTGGAGAGAAGCAGAGAAGGTGACGCGACGGTAAGTGGCAGCGCGCGGCGAAGGCGGGGGAGGAGCCAGCAAGGAGGCGGCGCGACGGGAGTGGCGAGCGTGCGTGCTGGCCGTGCGCCTGGCTGGTGCGGTGGGTTGTGCGCCAAGGCGATGGCCAAGGCACACGGGTGCGCGGGTATGGGACGTGTAGAGCAATACCATACACATACCATGTAGTTAATGGGTATAAAATTTTACCCATATCCGTACCCACGGGTATGAAACTTTATCCGTACTCATACCCGGCGGGTATCCATACCCATTGGGTACCAATGAGTAGATCAAATAATACACAAGTTATTTACAATTTCACATTCATCGATATCACATTTGACCAAAAAATATTTATCTCAATTCAGTAACAGATAGATGGGTACATAACAATTATCTCAATTCAAATTAACAATTGATAACAACTTTAAGATAGGTTCACAATCTCATAACACATTTCACAGGTAGGGTAAACATGTCAGTATAAAGGGACAGGGTATGGATATATCCATGGGCACAAAACTATACCCGTACCCTACCCATGAGTTAACGAGTAGGGTACGAATACTACCCATGGGTATAAAATTATGCCCATACCCTATCCATGCGGGTACGGTATCCGCGGGTACCCATACCCATGGGTAAAATTGCCATCTTTAATGCGCGGGGCTATTTTTGTCTTTTTTTATTGGTTGAGCAAAGTGCGTGAGGATTTTTCTTTTTAACGTAGTGCAAACGCAAGCGCTCGCCTTAAAATTTTATGAAGTGACCTTAAGCGTCTCTTCCCACTGAAAACGTGTTGGCGAAAAACCTGAAATAAATACAGGATAAATACGAGCACCAGAATTTAAACTCTGATGGACTGGGATACCACCGTCCACCCATCATCCAATCACAAGTTGATTCACAAGTCCGTGGGGACTATGCAATAAGAGTAGCTGCGGTGGGTTGTATAAACCCGATCATAAGCCGGGCCGGGCTTGGCAAAGCCTGAAGACAAAAATCACAAGGCCGAGCCCGTCCAGAAGCACATAAATAGTGGCATTTTTTAATTAAAATAATTATATTTAGAATATTATATTAATTTGTTGTACCTATATTTGAAATAGAAAAGGTATATATATGGTCATTTCGGGCAAGCATCGGGCGAAAAAGTAGAGCCCGGCCCGGATGCCGAGCTTTCAGGCTCGGGCCTCCGGGCCGGGTTGTCCATTAGTTGTAGCTAAACCTGGCCAAATGGCTCACCCAGGCACGGCACGCCTTGCCGGGCACATCAAGTACATAGGCCTTGTCGGGCTGGCATGCGTGCTCCTTGCACAAGCATGACCCCCTCTTACACGAACCGGCACGACGGGCCGTTTAGCCCGCTGGACCGCATAGAATTCAACCTATTGGCTGTTTTAGGCCTATATTCAGCCTATTAGACTGGATTATAAAAAAAAAACTAAACATACCGTGTTGTGCCAGTACTCGCGGCCTACACACAACCCTGGGCGGGCCATCTGCCGGCACGAACGGAATTTCCTATTCGCCGCTTACTGCGGCAAGTAGTCGCCGCTTACTGCGGCAAGTAGTCGCCGCTTCGCACAGGGCATAGCTCACCCTGGGCCGGCCCATTTAACTGGTTTCGCTTCGCGAGATTAAAAAACCGCAACAAAAAATGCTCGCGACAGGGATCGAACTAACAACCTCCTGTAGGTGTATAAGCGGCGGTAGCCATCGCGACTGACTCATGGATGTGAAAGAATAACAAAGCTAAACTTAAAGAAAGTAAAAGCGATGACAAAACTTAAAACCATCTACTGGTTCTTTCTGGTTTTCTTCACAGTCTTATTCTGTTATCTCTTTTTTCCCGTTTTCTTTGTTTTTTCTTTTTTAATATGGTTTTCAAAAACTTCGAATATGGTTTAGAATTTTCAAAAATGTTCTTTTTGTCAAAATTTGTTCATATTCCTGAAATAGTGTTCACATTTTCAAAAAAAAATCACAATTTTGAAAACTGCTCCTGATTTTTTTGTTTTCTTTCTATTTCTTTTCCTTTTTTTCAATTTCTTCAAAAGAAACTCAAATATATTCAAATTTTCTTTGTATTTTTTATAAAAATTTCAGTTTTTGCAAAATGTTCTCAAAATTCAAAAATTGTTCTCGTTACACAAAAAAGTTCAAAACTTTTGAAATGCAGAAAATGTACCAGATTTCATAAGATGTTCACGTTTTCAGAAAATATTCGCGCTTCCAAATTTGTTCAGGGTTTTTCAAAATTTGTTCTCCAGATTCAAAAAATGTTCGTGCTTTAAAAAATTGTTCATGCTTCCAAATTTGTTCGCGATTTTTCAAATTTGTTCTCATGATTCAAAAAATGTTTGTGCTTTAAAAAATTGTTCACGCTTCCAAATTTGTTCTCCGTTTCAAAATTTGTTCTCCAGAGTAAAAACATGTTTGTGGTTTAAAGAAATGTCACAAATTCCAAATTTTTTGGGAAACTCAAATTTTGTTCGTTTTCAGAAAATTTGTTTGTGTAATTGTATGTTCAAAAAGTTGTTCACTACAGTAACTAATTCCGGTTCAAAATTTTGTTTGCGTAATCGTACGTTCAAAAAAGTTTGTGCTTTTGAAAAACTGTTCCCATTATCAAATTTTTGTTCTCAAGATTCTATAAATGTTCGGGTTTTCGGAAAATGTTCAGGAATTTTTTAAACAAATCTGTCGAAAAATGTTCACGCCTTTTGTTTTTATTTTTTGAAATTTGAAAATATGTCCGAGTTGTTAAAAAAGTTATCATATTTTGAAACATTGCTCTTTTGTTAAAAAATCACAATTTCGAAGGAAAGTTTGAAAAAATTGAAAAAACTGTCCAGATTCTTCATTGGTATTAGTTCTTATATTAGCACGCTTCATTATTTAACAACCAGCACGTGATAGGTCTATTGGTTTGCTCCTTTGGAACGCAACTTGGAGGTTCAGAGGTCGAATCCTGGCAGAAGGGCGGTTACTTTTTTTATCATTATCATCGCAGCGCTACTGTACAAGCAAAACGCGCCCACTATTGGGCCGGCCCAGTCGGGATTTCGTTGCGTGCGTCGTACAGTTGTTTGACGCAGAATGCGTCCAACAGGAGGGAAAATCCTATTCGCCGCTCGCTGCGGCAAACTGTCGAGCAATCACACAAGGGCAGCGCAGCGAGCGACAGAAATGGGCCGGCCCACACATAATGCGTCCAAACCGGTTTTGGTAACCTTCCAGAAGGTTCCCTGAACCGGGTTCTTTTCTTGTATTGTTTTTATCTGGTTCTTTTTCGGCTTTCTATTGTTTTTTTTATTTCTCTTTTTTTCGTTTCTGTTTCTTTTTCATTTCTTCGTTTTTTGTTTCTTGTTTCACTTTCTTTTTCAAGTTTATTTTTTTTAGAATATGCTCGTAGTTTTACAAAATGTTTATGATTTTATTTTTTATTTCCTTTCCTTTTCTTCTCTTCCTTTAAAAAAAATCAGAAATTTAAATTTTGTTCGTGTTTCCAAAAAATGTTCAGTTTTTGAAAAAATGTTCTCAAAATTCAAAATTTGTTCTCGTTACACAAAAAAGTACAAAACTTCTAAAATTCAGAAAATGTACTGAATTTCAATTTTTTGTTCACATTTTCAAAAAATGTTCGCGCTTCCAAATTTGTTCGGGATTTTAAATATTTCTCTCCGTTTCAGAATATGTTTTCAATATTGAAAAAATGTTCGTGCTTTAAAAAATTGTTCGGACTTCCAATTTTGTTCACATTTTCCAAAAAAATCATGCTTCCAAATTTGTTAGGGATTTTTCAAAAAAATTTCTATTTCAAAAAAAATTCTCAAGTTTAAAAAAATGTTTGTGCTTTAAAAAATTGTTCGCACTTCCAAATTTGTTCGGGAGTTTTCAAAATTTGTTGTCAAGATTCAAAAAATGTTCGCACTTCCAAATTTGTTCTCCATTTCTAAATTTGGTCTGAAGATTTAAAAAATGTTTGTGCTTCAAATTTGTCTTCAAGATTCAGAACATTGTGTACAAAAAATATACACTTTTTTTGTACAGAATATGTTCCTGTGTACAAAGTATGTTCAGAAATGAAAAAAATGGTCGCATTTTTTCAAAATATACACTTTCAGAAAAAATCTACAATTTGTTTTAAGATGTTCACTACAGTGTGTAATTGTGGTTGTACGGTTGTACTAAGTTATTATAAATGCGCGTTTGTTTGCTAGTACAAGCAATGCTAGTCAGGTGGAGTAGCTGGGAGCATGCGCTTCGAATCTGTAAGTCGCAGGTTCGTGTTTCCGTCGCGTTTCACTTCCCCCTTTTTGCTTTCTTTTCTTACCACCGGTACAGCACGATGGGCCGGCCCAGTCAGGCTGCGCCCCTGTGCGCGCCGACAACATTTTGACGCAAAGCGCGTCCAGGAGCTCTGCAATAGAAGCTCTCGGCACGAACGTCTCTGGCCATGCCACATGTGATGAGCAAGTGGGCTATCAGGCCGGCATGGCAAAACCGGTCCATTTAGCATTCTGGCCTCTAGAAGAGTATATCTGGTGAACTATGGCTTCTGTCTCGCTGAAGGATTTCTCCCTATGTGTACCTACTGGGTCGGCCTATTTCATTTTTTTTTCCGTTCGCTAAGTTTTGATCGCGTGAGTTTGTTGG